AAGGAAGGAAGGAAGGAAGGAAGGAAGGAAGGAAGGAAGGAATGAAAGAAAAAAGAAAGAAAGAGTCCACATTTCTGTGGTAAAAAAATATAGGGAGCTAGTAAGTTGAAAGTCCTTCAAGTCGTTTCATGGTAGAAAATTTTAAAGTTATTGTTGAGACTCCAGCATGAAAAACCTATTTCAGAGTGTAGTGGTCAATTAACGTGTCTGAGTGCATTGCTGTCTTGGGAAGAAGCGATTCCTTTATGTTTAATAAACTTAACTATTGTTCAAAGTGATTGTTGACTAGAAGAATAATTAACCTATAGTCGGAACGATTACCTCGTTATTAGCCAGACAAAAACTCAGCTCCTATTAACAGTGGCACGAAATAAATGACATTAAAAATGAAATCACATATTATATTTTTATTACTTTGCTTTAAGAAAGTTTGAATTAAAAAATTAATTGTAATTTTGACTCCATGGTGGACAGAAAACCTAACAGGTTTTTTAACTCAACAGATAAGGATAACAATAGATCAGATTGGAATGTAGAAATTGATTTTTTTTTTTTTTTTTTTTTTGCAGGGAGGATAACTGGAAAACCCAGAGAAAAACCCTTAAAGCACAGGAGAGAAGCGACAAGCAACTCTAGACACATACGACGAGTCCACGAATCAAACCAGGGTCGCCTCGGTGTGCTCTCAATGCTACGTATCCTGCTGTGCTTCCCAAAATGCATCGGACAGGAAGCTCTCGACTATAGAAAGCTCTAAAGCAAGCAAACGGCAGAGGAAATGGCAATAAAACCTGTAGAAGAAAACCTTGAACTTGGGTTTCCAAGGTCGATTAGAAATCATGCGAACAAGATTTCGTGATGTAAGCCAAGTTTCGAGATCGATATTTGACCCACACATTGCTTACTTCTCAAGAACTTTGATTTTGTCGTAAATCTTTGTAATTAAAGGTGCTCAACACCGCGATTGATCTAAACTACCATGGAAACCATCTCAATAACTCTTCTGGAGAAATAAATCTCATCTCCTTTCAACTGGAAAAAAGAACTGCATAATCTATCTTGCTAACTAAAGCTTCAGTTGACAGGCCAAAATGTCCATATTTTAAAGATTTTAAAGTCAAAGACAACTTCTATTTATTTTATTTTGAAATAAAGAAGTTTTCTTCTTTATTTGACGGACGTTTTTCTTATATTTTAATCCTCTTTTGAGACTTTATCAATAAATATTAGTGCGCTTATTTGGTCAAAAATATAGCATTTTAATTTTGTGGAGAGAGAAATAAAAGCTGGAGGAAATTTTCGAAACGCATGCTGCAAACATTTGCGGAGAGCAGCCCTCTTTACCTTTGGCGTAACATTTTCCCATTTCAGACAACATCATTCTCTTGAGAATGAGATTCTTTCCTTAAGTTGTATCCATGAAATGATACTCTAGGGAATGACACGTGGTCTGGAATTGGGAAAAAATTACGCCCAAGGTAAAGAGGTATATTATTTTCGATTTCGTGTTAAGTCGCATGGATGCAAAGACTGCCGCCCAATACGCCACCCATATTTCCCACGATATACGTTGTATGAGTTAGAAAAGCAATATAATAGATGGATGACGATTAAGAGCGCACGTTCAGCCAGGTTGAGGGGATAATCATGAAATGTAAAAAAAAGAAAGAAAAAGAAAAAAAAAAGAAGAAGAAGAAGAAGAAGAAGAAAAGAAAAGAAAAAGAAAAAAAAGAGCATTTTGTCGAAATTTTGTTTGTACAAAATTAGTATGAAAGAAATAAAAGCTATAGTATATAAAGAGATATGTATATTTTCCTTTCTACTATGATTTTATCTCCCCCATACGAATAAGCGAATATGTTCAGCCGGCAATATTGGTGACGCGTTTATAAATATTGGTTTTTGTTCATTTGAAGTTTGCTTTCGTGAGCTTTGATTTCCCCCCACTTGCTACTTATATATTTTAGAAGGAGGTTTTTGCGTTTAAATGCTCAGAAACATTTAGGGTTTTCTTGTTTGCTTGTTTGCTCCCTCCCTCCCACTGACTGATTTCTTGATTCGGTTTTTTTTTTCTGTCTATCCTTCCATCCATTCTTTGTTTTTAGCTCGTCACTCTTTCCATCCTAAGTAGCCCGATCGACACATGGTAACGACACTTATTTTAAACTTTTATCTCATAGCCCTAAGTATTTCAAAACACAAGCTTCGGTAATCTGTAAGCATTAGTGTAGGTGGTGCAAGCGACGTAATTACGACATAAATCAGCTACCGTAAATAGTTAATTTGTAGATTGTTTTTACTTATACCAAAACAATCATCAGAACTCACAAAATTAATGATGCAAACAGGTGACTCAATTGCAAAAGAATGAATCATGAGATCATCTGCAAAATCATGTTGTAAATACATTTTTTATATTAAATAAATAATGAGAAAATACAGGAAAGGTTAAAAAATGAAGAAGTGAATCTGTGCCCTATGCAGTTCGCGACGGCTATACTTATTACACATACAAATTAAGTTATTGGTAATGATAATAATAATAATAATAATAATAATAATAATCATAATAATAATAATGGAAACTTTATTCTTTTCTTGAATACAGTTGTAAATCTCTCTATAATAATAATAATAATAATAATAATAATAATAATAATAATANATAATAATAATAATAATAATAATAATAATAATAATAATATATCAAGTTGTTGGTAGCTGTTGGTTCGCAATTCTATCCTATAGTAATGCTCGTGCAATCACTTTACCCATGAAAGAAGCTAAGATTTTAGTTTTTTATAAATATATATTTATTGAGGATTTCATGTACATTTTTGTCCAAAAATGAACTATGCAGTTGGTATCACTTGAAATCGTTGAAAAATTACTAATATTACTACAAAACAATATATGCTTTTGCTTTTTATTATGAAATCATTAATGACAGAAAGTGTTGCTAAGCTTGGATTTCCACGGTTTCCAAATCGCATTTTTTACTGATTAAGTCAAAAATAATATTGATGAAACCAAGAAAAAAATAGTTGTTTTATTCTATAATGTTTCTCAATATTTTGCATCTTTTGATATCATGACAAATTAAGAAAAAAAACCTTACCTTTTTTAATCTTATTTTTAGCATGAAAATAATGAATGTCGTTGGTACAGCACCTTGACTACCGCTAATGATCGAAGCAATATCCTTTTTTTTTTTCARTTTGTCTTGTTTGATTAACAGTGATTGCTCCTATAAAAGAGGAGAGTTTGTGAACTTCTCATTACACAACACACCCTTTGACTGAAGTCACTTCAAATACAGTCATGGTTTGCAAGCTCGGGTTTGTCTTCGTCGTTCTGATTTCCGTTGGCTCTACGTTGGGTTGGCCTTGGAGAAGCGGTAAGCTAAAATAGTAGAACAAACTACTTTGCAATGCTGTCTGATTAATTTAGAGTAGATTCAGGGTCTTATCATTATTAGTTTTAGACCCTCTCGTTTAAGTATAAGATAGATTTCTGTTAACTTCTTTTTTAGTTTTTTTTTTTTTTTTACTTTTTTTTCAAACAGAATTTTACAAACTTGGAATATTTTTATACTTCTTTTCCTCTTTCTTTCGTTCTTTTCCTTTATTATTATTATTTTTTAGCTTGTTTTCCTTTATCTTTTTAGCTTGTTTTACTGCTTTTTTTTGTAATATGACCTGCTCGTTCTAGACCTTTTGGAAACTATATGTTTGCTTTCTTCCAAATATCATTTTACAATTTTTTTCTTTCTTTTCTTTTCTTCCTTTTTTGGTTTGTTTATTTCTGTTTTTTTGTACTAGATATTTGCGTTCCTCCTAATACTTTTACGATTTCTCTAATAATATGTTGTTGTTGTTGTTGTTGTTGTTTTTTTGTACGAAAGTATCTTTATTTATTTATTTAAAGAAGGTTGTACTTTCTTTCTTTTGTTCTTTAAGTTCTTTTGGTTCTTCGTACTGTATCACTGGATATTCACTTCTCTCGATTTCTTAAAGATTCATTTTATGCTTTCCGATTGCTTTCTTTTTGTACGATTGTACCCTATATTAGTTACTCAGTTTTCACTATATTTTTTCTTCTTCTTTTTAAGTATTTTTTTACTGTATTTTCAATATATTTCTACTTTGGGTAGCGCATGCACGCGCGTACTTGGTTCGTAATTGATAGAAGCTCTTATTCTTCGTTTTCTTCATTAAAGTTTGATAGAAGGTAATACTTTTTTACTTTTTTCTTTCTCTACAGATCCTGCTCAGCAAGAGCATCTAACCAGGCAAAAGCGAAGTAAGTAACGAATAAAATAATTTCCCGACAACTTTACTATCATACTATTCTTAATAAAATCCCAATAGTTGAACCCTAAACAACATGTATTCTTTTGTTTTAAGAATCATACAAGTGAGGCTAACGGGTCGATACAATGCATTTTGTCTCATTTTCATATCATTTGCATGCATCCAAAGTATCTGATGTTGCGTGGATTTTTTGCGTTTAATGTTTGGCAAGAGCTCCTACCCAGTTCCTAATATTGCCTAGATACCAGCCTGAGATGCGTAGTCACTTTTGAGCCATATGGACCACTTTTTCGTTGCTACGCGCCGATCGAGAGAGAAGCCACCTCACGCTCAATACGACAAAGATAATTCGCGCCAAACGAATAAGTTACGTTTTAAGATGCAATAGGACTGTGCTCTACTGTCAAACGACTCGCCCTTTGCTTAGTCCTTGTAAAGAACGTCGGCCTAAATACTTACATATCATAGTTTAATCCAATGTTATCAATGCCAGATTTATGGTGCATATGTTATTCTTATCTTATATTCTTTTTATAGGCGTGGAGTGCAAAAATCACTTAGACTGTTTCCAATGTGATCAAAAGAAGAGGCAAGGCCAGTGTGCCGCATACTTGTCAGTGTGTCAGCACACCTGTAATCCCGATTGCGGTAAGTAAAGACAAGCTACAGCAAACTGTACAAGCATCAAGTCCTTTATATCACAAGAAATGAAAACACTGGAAGTAGTAGTTTTGAAGAATGAAAAAATTTTGAAATTTCTCATTGACCTGCCTAATACACGAACATCGGCCCTGTTAATTCAGTTTGTTTTTCAAGCACCTTCGGAGTCCGCATTTACGTTTTCATGTCTTTGCCTTCAACATTCGTAACTAATATAGTGTGTTTTTTATTAGCGTCGACGCCCTTCGCTGACGAGCCTTACAAGCCATGCGCAGATATCAAGGCCCAAGGCGACTGTTTGAAAGCAATGCCATATTCATCTTCTTTATGGTTGTCTGTCTGCGAAAAGTCTTGCTGTGTTCGTAAGTATTTGTTCTCCTTAACAATATTCACAATAGAGTGAAGACTGAATGTGCTAAATTAAGCATTAATAACTTGTAAATGTATTAGAGGAGTTTCTTTCTAGAAAGGTCCTATAACTGATCCTTGAGGAACTTCTTTAATTTGTTCTCTCTAGCGATACTCAAAATAGAGCGAAGTCGAGTCTGCATGTTAGACTATGGAAGTAAATGTGTTACGTTGGTTATGAATATCTTGTAAATTTATTAGAGGGTTAGCTTTCTAGAAAGGACCCACAACTGATCACTGAGGAACTCAATGGTACTGTCTGACAATTTTCACAATAGAGCGAAGATTAGTATGTTAGACTATGGAAGTAAATGTACTAAATTAGTCATAAATATCTCGTAAAATTATCAGAGAATTTTTTTCTAGAAAGGACCCATAACTGATCCAAAGGAACTCATTTTAAAATTCGCTATCAAGAAAGGAATTACGACTAATAATTCTTGTGGAATTCCCCTTTACATTAGATTATTATGAATACCCTTCTAGTTTACTTGATGGATTCGCTTTTTACAAAAAAAGCCAACTGAATAGCCGATCTGTGAGAAACTTTTGGTTGCTATAGCTATAGAATACAAGAAGTTTGCATCGAAACTTTAAATTAAATTCATCGAGGTCCATGGTTTTACCCCAAGTCCTGTCATTATGGAAAGGACCAATAACTGATCCATGAGGAACCCCTTACGTTTTAAGAAAAAAATAATAGATTGGCATCAAATATTTGATAGTTTTTAATGGCGTCCATGCTCTGACTTGGGACTCGGGCTAAAACTGTCACTATGTAAGGGACCAGTCATTATTTAAGTCGGGGTGGGGGTGGGGATTGAAGAAAAAAATTTTTTCGATGCAAAAAATTTTCTAGACCCCAACCCCCAACCTAATAGCATAGTTTTTCGGGTACCGCCTACAATCGTTTATGAAATCCTTCCAATTTCCTCCTTTTGACCTTTACGCCTTATGTTCTAATAGATGAAATAACATTAGTTTATTAACACCAAATATTTAATATTTTTGCATATATACAGTGGAAAATCCGCCTAAATGGAGTGAATGGTCTGATTGGGGATCCTGCTCCAAGTCCTGTGATCATGGATTCAAAACAAGGACTCGCGTATGTCAAGGCGAAGGATTTGGTCAAACATGTGAGGGGTCTCCCTTTGAATCAGCCAAGTGTAATGTTGGTGTTCCTTGTAAAGGTATTTATCATGGTATTTATCATAGAAATTATCGTCAAAGGCGTTCCAAAATGCATGAAAGACAGAGAGGGAGAGGGACAAAGAGAGAGACAAAAAGAAAGAGACAGACAGACAGACAGACAGACAGACAGACAGAGAGGGGGGAAGGGGGTTGAGAGAGAAAGAGGTAACAAGAGAAAACTACACGACAGACAAAATTGTTAAAAAGTGAAGAAAATTGTAAAAAAATGTTTGTACTTTTTTACAGGAACTGTTGGCTGGAAAGATATTACTACAACTGTAGAAGAAACTGTTGGAAAGGTTACTCTTACCATCGTAAGGACAGTGAAGACAGACTGCGATGCGTCCATCAAGTAAGGACTGTCTCAGATAAAGATTGATTAGCTTGGACTGCGAATTATGTATGCTAATTCATGATACCTTCTTCAGAGTAAATACCAAAGATGGCACTGCAGTGCAGCCAGATGACTATGTCAAGATAGAAGACCTTGTTATCGACTTTGCAACGGACGAAACCGAAAAGACTGTCACGTTTACCATCAACAAGGACAAACTTATCGAACCTCTGGAGTCTTTCACTGCTGTCATCACAGCTGACCCTAACAAACTCAACGTCGATCCGGCAGTAACAACTATCAACATCAAGGACTGTACTGGTGAGTATTGATAATGATATTTGTATTGAACAAACATACGGTTGCTGTCATTCAGCACTGTTGAATTAGCAATATTTTGATCAAATTAAATGATTGTCAAAATCTTTTTTCTTCAGCTAAGATTGGTCTTCGTCCAGATAAATATGAAGTTCAGGAAAATTTGAAGATCGTCAAAGTAACGGTGTTTAGAGAAGGATGTCTTCGTGATACAAATAAAGTCTGGTAAGCCGCATTTGTAGCCTAAGACAAAATACGTTATATTTTTCTTAAAATCGCGCCACAAAATCGTATGACCTTAAGGCTTAATCTTTGTTACCTTTCAATTTTTTCCTAACTTGTTTTGATGCTTCTCTTTAATTTTCGCTCCGTTTTCATTTTATACATTCATTCCTCTCCTTCCTTTTCTCTTCTTAATTCCTTTTTGGATTTTTTCCTTTTCTCTTTGGTTTTTTTACTTTTTGTTTTGATTTGCTCTGTTTCTTGTTACTTTTAAGTGACATAAATTTATTTATTTATTTATTTTAAATACTCACTTATATATATCGAAGCGTTTGTAGAAAGATGGAGCAATCCGTTAAAGAAATTCTTTTTCAACGAGAAATGTTTGCTTTCAGTATTTCCACAGTCGATGGAACCGCCAAGGCTGTAAGTGACTACGTCGCCATTTCGAAACAGGAGGTATCCTTTGCACCAACTGAAACGTCCAAGGAAATTTCTATCACTATTGTAAATGATGGAGTAGAAGAACAAGACGAAGATTTCTCTGTTGAACTCGGCTGTGCAGATCCTGCTACTTTGATCGTTGCACCTGGTAAAGCCACTGTGGTGGTGAAAGATGACGATGGTAAGCTTGACTTCTTATTCTCTTTCATCGTCCTCATTCAAATTGTCCCCTTAATTCCTTCTCATTTACAGAAAGCACAAGGGGTCTTATTACCGTAACAAACATTTAAATTACAGTAATTACAGTAACATACGATTAAATTATTTTTCCAATGTTTCGCATAGTTGATGGCAATTGGTCTGACTGGGGTCCTTATGGAGACTGCAGCAAGACTTGTGGAAGTGGCGTACAAACACGATCAAGGACATGCACCAACCCTAAGCCACAAGGAGGTGGAAAAGACTGTGAAGGATTAGCAGTCAGTTCTCAGGCTTGCAACACTCATAAATGCCCAAGTAAATAAAAAATCATTTATTTACCGCGCAAGAAAGTCTTACCTAAATACAGACGTTCGTCTGATTTAAAAAAAAATTAAAATTTCGCAAAAATATAGCAAAAAACTAATACTGAGATAAAAAATATTGATTTTTAATTATTTTTAAATCAGGAGAAACGCCTTTGTCTACTGTAAACCAATAAGGCTGCCATGAACGCATGTTGGAGTCCAAAAAGATTTATTTCATATTCATTTTGGTTTTGTTTTCATTTCTGCTTAAGTTTTCCTTCTTTTTCTTCTTTTTCTTCTTTTTCTTCTTTTTCTTATTTTTTTCTTTGCTTTACCTCGCCTTGCTTGTCTTGCCTTTTTTTATTCTTAACTCGTGTATTAAGGCTAACATAAAAATACAACAGGTATTATACTTTACTAAATAGGATTTGTGCCTTTGCTTTCGTATATTTCCTATTTTCCTATTAATCTTACTATGGATATGTCTACGTTACAGTCAATGGAAGCTGGAGTGAATGGGGTCCCTGGAGCGAAGGAACCAGAACATGTGGAGGAGCAACACGATACAGAACTCGAACATGTACAAATCCTCCCCCACAATATGGCGGTTTAGATTGTGAAGGACCAGAGAAAGAAACTCAAGGTTGCAATAACGAGCCATGCCCAGGTAAACACATGGCTACGTTGATGACTACTGCGATCATGATTTTGATAATGATAATGATTATTTTTTGATGATGATGATGATGATGACATTAATGATAATGATAATGATGATGATTTTGATGATAATTATAATGATGATGACGATGATGTTGATAATGATGATGGTAATGATCTAGAATATGATGCTGTACATTATCGTGTTGTTGATGATTATGTTGATGTTGACCATGATGATGATGATGACGAAATGATGATGAAGTGGTAATGATATTATGGTGATGATGATGATGAAGAAGATGACGATGATGGAGTGTTGATGTTCATTGATGCTGATAACCAAAATTGCTAATATTCTCATAGTTAATCTGGTACAATCTTTAACCAATATTTACCTAAACACTTTTTCTTCAGCTCAAGTTGGTCTTAAGCCTAAGGAAATATCCGTCCTTGAAAATGTCGGAAAAGTTGAAATCACCGTGTTCAGGGTTGGAAATTCCATTGGTTCAAACAAATGCAAGTAAGTGCAATGCAAGGGCAAATAAAAAAGCAGTGTTTTAGCATGTATGTTCCAGTGTCAAACAGTATTGGCATTTTTGTTTGAAGGTTCCATATGTGAGTTAGCCATTTCTTGGCTTAGATTAGCACAGAGGTTTTTTCGTGGTTCAATCTGTGAGTTAGCTGTGCCCGTACTTAGATCAGCCAAGAGGTTGCATCAGGGTTCTATCCGTGAGTTAGCCACTCATGACTTTGATGAGCCCATAGGTTGCTTCAACCGGGTCCTATCTGTGAGTTAGCCATGCCCTGACTTTGATGGGCCCATAGGTTGCTTCAACCGGGTCCTATCCGTGAGTTAGCCATGCCCTGACTTTGATGGGCCCAT